AAACAACTTTACAAGAAAAAAACAAGCAACCCAATTAAGAAATGGGCAAAAGAGCTAAATATCTTCTAAGGAAGATATACGAATGGCCAACAGACATATGAAAAAATGCTCAATATCACTCAGCATTCAGGAAATGCAAATCAAAACCACACTGAGATAACATCTCACCCCAGTTAGGATGGCTAAAATCCAAAAGACTGAACGATAAATGCTGGCGAGGTTGCGGAGAAAAAGGAACTCTCATACATTGTTGATGGGACTGTAAAATGGTGCAGCCTCTATTGTAAATGGTATGGAGGTTCCTCAAACAATTGCAGATAGATCTACCATATGACCCAGCTATCCCACTGCTGGGAATATACCCAGAAGAACGGAAATCATCAAGTCGAAGGTATAACCGTTCCCCAATGTTCATCGCAGCACTCTACAATAGCCAAGAGTCGGAATCAGCCCAAATGTCCATCATCAGATGAGTGGATACGTAAATTGTGGTGTATCTACACAATGGAATACTACTCAGCTACAAAAAAGAATGAAGTACTGCCATTTGCAATGACATGGATGGACCTAGAGAGAATTATATTAAGTGAAACAAGTCAGGCACAGAAAGAGAAATATCACATGTTCTCACTGGTGGGAGCTAAAAATAAATAAATTCACACACACACACACACACACACACACACACACACAAAACCGGGGTGTGGGGGCGAAGACATAACAATTGCAATTCCTTGAAGCTGATACAACAAGCATACAGAAAGGACATTTTTGGGAGTGAGGGGGGAGCGGGAGGAGGAAAGGAGGTTTCGGTAATGGGCCACAATAATCAATCACATTGTATTTCGACAAAATAAAATAAAATAAAATAAATGAAAAGAAAAAGGAAGGACGATAGTCACTCAGTCCTGAACTATATCTTTAGATATTGCTACTGCACATACCATATGCCCTTATGTATGAACACACATTTTCACACAGAGTAGTTCATCTGATCAAAATTTCAATCAAAAGTCTAAAATTCACTCCCACAATGAATAAATGTATATACTGCCCTATTTTGGTACACCCTATTTTACAATATATAAGGAACACACACATGCTCAACTCAGAAACACTGGAAAATACAAATAAGCAAAAATGGTAAGTGATTAAAATCATTCCAAGTAGCATCATCCATACAAAGCTAACTTTTTGAAATATTTCCAGACTTAATGCAAAATATATATAGTCACAAATACATATATATATATACATATGTGCACGTAGGGATATTTTTTCCAAAATCGAATATATAATTTTCTGTGAACTCAGACATTCTAAATCATTTGTAAAGATCCAATAGCATTCCTATAATATGTATAAGATTTTAATTAGCCAATCCCTTATGATTGGCATTTAGATTGTAATCTGCCACTATTATAAACAAAACTAGAATAAATATCAAGTTCTCTGATTATTAATATTAATGAGGTTAAGTACCTTTGATCATTTGGGTTTCACCTTTGGTGAAGTGTTAAATATTTTGCCCACTTTTCTATGGGGCTGGACTTTTTCTCATTGATTTACAGCTTTGTTTTGTTCTCAACATATTTTAGGTAGGTCTTTGATTGGTTAATTCTGGTTTTTGCTTAACATAAGTTCTTAATTGTAATGTAATCATTCTGTGCCTTCTTAAAGAAATCTCCCTCATCCAAACTTCAAGAAGATATTTTATGTTATCCTCTGAAGGCTTTATTTGCCATTCACATTTATGTCTGTAACCCAAATGTTATTGATTTTTGTTCATGATAATGGCCCAATTTCATTTCTTTTTCTATATGAACACCCAATTATCCAAGCACCAATTACTGAAAATATCAACCATTCCATATTACAGTGCCATATTTACCATAAATCAAGTATTCATGGATCTATTTTTCATGGACTCTCTCTTCTTTCTATTGGTCTATTTTTCTATCCTTCCAAGTATGTAAGGCCTTTATTTCCCCACATTCTTTCAGGGACTCCAAACACAGATAAGATCTTCTTACTGTATCCTTTTGAGTCTTACACTTTTCTTCTGTTCAGTATTTTCTGTATTTTTTTCTTCTTCTGTGCTGCTTTTTTGCATAGCTTCTTCTGAATTATATCTTCTGGATCACTAATGCTCACTTCAGTTTTGTCTAATCTACTGCTAAGCTTGCAAACTGAATTAATTTCAGGTATTTTATTTTCTGATTCTAAAACTTCTATTTAGTTCTTTTTCAAATCTGCCTTGTCACTTTTTATAGTTTCCAGTTTCCTAACATTATGTATTAATCTTTGCTTTTTTTTTTTTTTTCTTAACTTAATGGGCATGATGGTTTTCTCTTGTTTGTTTCTTCCAGAGAGCTGGGGCATTACCAGTCTACATATCTTAACCAGGTTTGACTGTTTAATACAGGTTGGACCACTAACAGGACACAAGGCAAGGAAGCAAATTTATAATATGACTGTTATATACATGGTTCCACCTTTTTCCTATATATTTCCACTATACTAACAAACGTCTGCAGGGCACAGTGTTGAGTCTTCCTATCCCAGAAGGTATGTTTTCCCATTTACTGAAGTCTTCTTTTATAATCTTCAGTGGAGTTTTGTAGCCTAAGTGTCTTTTAAAACTTACTTCTAGGCATTTTATGTTTCTGATGTTCTTATGAATAATTTCCACTATTCAGTATTTTCTCTCTAAGCACATTAACATCTCACAATACACTGGGCTGAGCAGTTTGGGATATCTTCCCACCGAAGTTTAGTAAATTAAAATTAAGTTAAAAAAAATTTAAGTGCCTCCAAGACACACATGCCTACACCATAGACAGCAGTTACCAAATAGCAACTAACTGGGAAATGTGGACATAACACAGGTAGATTCACACTAGTCTTGAATAGCTAAATTAATACCCTGACATTCAACAGACATGCTGCTGATCAGGAAGTTTTGTATCACCTTGAAGATTTTTAGAAATGCAGTCGCAGGCTTTTCCTGAAAATTACTGAATTCCAATCCCCAGAATTTTAACAAGATCCCCACATGTTTGTATGCATATTAAAGTTTGAAGGGGCCGGCCCGGTGGCGCACTGGATAGTGCGCCGCTTGGGAAGCGCGGCGGCGCTCCCGCCCGAGGGTTCGGATCCCACATACAGACCGGTTCCCGCTCACTGGCTGAGTGAGGCACGGGAGCAACACCCAGGGTTGCAATCCCGTTGCCGGTCCCCGGTCCGGTACGGGGGCGACACTGAGGGTTGCGATCCGTTGCCGGACACGGAAAAAGACAAAAGACAAAAAAAAAAAAAAAAAGTTTGAAAAGCACTGGTCTAAAACAAAGGTTGGCAAACTTTTTTTGTAAAGGGCCAGATAGTTAATATTTTAAGCTTTGCAGGCTACACAGTCTGTTTTAACTAATCAACTGTGCTGCTTATCGTAATGATAAAAGAGTCATATACTTAAGAACAGAGCTTCAAAATACGTGAGGCAAAAAAAAATGGACAGAAATGAAAGAGAAAATAGACAATTCAGCAATTATAATGGCGATTTTAACATCTTTCTCTCAATATTGATAGAATTAGACAGAAAATCAGCAGGGATACAGATACATGAAAAACACTACCAACCAACTTGACCTAGCTTGTATATATAGTGAGTGCACTCTACCTAATAACACAGCACTCATTCTTTTCATGTGAGCATGGAATAAAACACATGCCAGACCACAAAACAAGTCGTAACAAAAGACTAAAATCATACAAGCTATTTTCTCCAACCAAATGAAATTAAATTAGAAATCAGCAACAGAATGAAATATAGGAAGTCCCCAAATATTAAGATATCACAAAACAAACTTATAAATAACCCATGGGTTAAAGAAGAAATTTCAACAGAAATTAGAAAATATCTCATGAAACAGCACAGTAGTGGCATAATGATAGAAATATAAATTAATATAACAAAATAGCTCAAAAATAAAGCCTTAAATTTATATTTAATTGATTTTGGACAAAGGTGCCAAGGTAATTCTATGGGAGAAGGGTCAGTCTTTTCAACAAATGGTTCTGGAACAATTAGACATTCACATACAAAAAAAAAAAAAAAATAGATCCTTATCTCAGACCATAATCAAAAATTAACTCAAAATGGATCATACATCAAAATATAAAAGCTAAAACAATAAAGCTTCCAAAAGAAAACACAGAGAAAAAATCTTTGTGACCTAGGATCGAGCACAGATTTCTTAGATAAGATACTAAAATCTTAGATAAGATCCATAAAAGAAAAAGTTGATAAATTAGATATTGTAAAATTAAAAACTTTTACTCTTCAAGAAGCATCATTAAGAAAATGAAAAGATAAGCCACAGAGTGAGAGAAAACATTTCCAAGTCACTTATCTGATAAAGGGCTTCTATCCAGAATATATAAAAATCTGAAAATTCAATCAAGACAAATAATCCAATTTTAAAACAAGCAAAAGATTTGAGTAGATACTTCTACAACTAAGATAAGTAAATGGCTAATACACACATTAAAAAGATGCTCATTAGTCATTAGAGACACTCAAAACCACAATGAGATACCACTCCCACTTAAATTGAGGAATATTCTAAAAATAGATCAACTTTAGGAAAGAGTGGAATGAAAAGTTAATAATATGGAAATTGATTCTCTGAAAAATTATCTTTGCTGACATACTCCTTGGAAAGGTTGTGTGTACCTCCAGTGGTACACATACTCTATTTGAAGACCCCTGGTATAAGAAAAAAGAAAGAATTTGGTGGCCAAGAAAATATTTGGTTAACAGTATTTGATCACCTGGAAAGGCATCCAGCATGAATAAGGTTGATTGTAAAAGAAAAAGTAGTTAGGGATGGGGAAGGAGCTAACAGGAAGAGGAGAGGAGAGGAAAAAGAAGAACTCTTGCTAGTTTCTGACATTATCACAATTCTGATAATCCCTGGCACTGGCAAGTAGAGCAAGGTGAAGAAGATATCCTCAGGCAACAACCAAGATGTTTCCATCATTTTGTTGATTCCCACACAGGCTCCCTGCCCCAGCCCACAGTGCCTAGAAAACACCATGCCCAGGCAAGTCTCCACTTCTTCCTTCAAATGCTCACATCTAGAAATCACTCTGCAGCAACAGACCAGAGCAAAGCAGAAAATTGAACCAAGCAGAGTTGACCTTCCTTTATGCCCACATCCCAGCCTGATCTACTCAAATTACAGAATTTGTCATATTGCAATAATAATTGTTTGTTTACATGCCAGCCTCTTCCCCCCCCCATTAGAGACTGTGCCTTCTTTAAAGACAGAGACATCTTGATATCTTCAGCACCCAGTATAGTGCATAGTCAATATATGTGGGTTTGTTAATACTGTAGATAAAAAACTCCAACTTTACAGTTTGAATGTCTTTGTCTACAAGGACCTTTTTTAAAAACATTTTTGGGCAGCAAATGTACTGTAAAACCCATTTGTTCTTTCTTAGGAGAGCTTCTAATCTATAATTAAGAATCTGACATGTTGTTTTATATATATCTAATCACATTTTACATAAAATCGTCAGGAAAATAAACGGTTACATAAAAGAAATGTGCTGTAGTGAGAAGACCAGGGATTAGATAGAAGCTAGGTAACCTGGTTCTAATTAGTACCACTGACTGCATATGTCTTCTCTGGTTTCAAGTTTTCTCATTGGTAAATTGAAAGGATTAAAACACAATCTCCAAACAGTCTTCAAATGCTAGTATTCTACGGATCTTTAATCTACGAGTGTTTCACTAATGAACAATCAGGAAGTGGGAGGCATGTCACATGCTGAATATTCCTAACATTTTGGTACCTCTTTGCTAGAGTTCAAAATAAATTATCCTGTCAAAATGAATAGTAAAAAGCACTGAATAGTGCTTCAATTCCATGAACAAAATTAAATAAGCACCAAAAAAGAATCTCCTTTTGAAATCAGGAACTTGACCTTACAATTCTAATTTCAACTCCTGAAATTATTAGCATTTTATCACATATCATAGGCATTGACATAATAGACAAACCATAAACTTACCTGCCAGGAAACTGCTCCCAAAATCGCTGTCGCAAGAAGACTAAAAAAAACTAACTGCTCTGAAATTAAGCAAAAATGACGCATCCCTTTGGATGCCATGATTCTATCAAGGCTATTGTTATCTGCCCTGTGGGTAAAGTATACTTTATGGCAGTCATTTAATTTGGTATGGAATCCCCAAAGAGTTAAAAGAAAAATAATATGGCAAATCATCCAAAAAATTCCAAAAATGGAAAAGCCTGGTATTACAAAATACCAGAGATGAGTGTCTCTAAGTTTAAATGCTGAAAGAATAAAAAATGTAAGCTCAATCATCCCAGTGAAAACGACTGAAAGTCTTCTGCAAATTCTTCCACGATACAAAAATGGTTTCCACCTTTCAGTTACTGAAAGTCCACTAAAATAAATGTCAAGGAAAGGATCAATTATCAGGCAAATAAAAAAACATGCAAAAGCAACTGGATTTTTGGGGGTTTCCAGTGAGGAAAAAAATAACAAGACTGCAAAAATAACTAAGTTTGGAATAGCTAGGAAAGACTTCATTCTCAGGTCAATAATCAGCATGGCCAAAGCTACAACAAGTAAAATGACACTCAGAGACTTCTCCACCAACATAGTTGTGCTGGCAATGGCAAATCCAACAAGTTCCAGAAATTCAACTGTGGTTAGTAAAGTCGGTCGATGACGGACATAACCAGAAATTCTTTCCACCAAAGCGCATAATATCCTTAATACTATCGAAGTTAGAAGCAAATATTTGGTTGATTCTTCTTTCACATCATTTTTAAAGGCTGAATTATCAAGAAAACATAGGAGGCCAAGCAAGAATCCAAACCAAAGATTCGAGAGACTTAAACTTGCTGCTTCCATTGAAAAATAATAATAGAGGATGCTGGCAATTCCAAGAACAAAAAGACCAAGAATAAAAATTACCAAAATTAAGTAATTTGCTGTTTTCTCCCATCTTACATAAAGACCTAAGCATATGGCAACCAGTAAATTGATTCTGGCTAAATAGCCAAGATACCGCACTGAGGAATGCATGTTCACTTCTCTATTTACTTCTTCAAGTCTTGTCATTGCTAAATAAAGACAATGACTAAAGCAGTAACGCAGTGATTTACACATGTAATCTGGCAATTTAGGCTTTTTCCCCACGTTACAAAAATTAACTGCTTGTATTTCATCCAGCAAATCCAATGTATCAGTAACTCCTACTTCAACATTTTCTCAGGTGCAAATTTTGTTTATAGTGATCTAAAAAGAAAAAAAAAATTCAGTATTAATTTTATATAGTTAACCTTTTATATGAATTTTCTTTATGCAAAATAATGGATAAGTGAAACATAAAGGTTCTTCTGAAATTCAATTTAAAACTTGATTTGCATATATCTTAATGGTAACTGTTTCAGGCTTAAAAACTTGGCAGTTTATCCAAACGAAAATGGCTGTGCTTTCTACTCATCATATGCTAAGATAGTATGAATGAATAATCATCAATGGAATTGTTCTTCCAGAGATGGTTAAGAATTTGCCTAATCCATTCTTATTCCAATACCTGGTTTTTCAGCAACATACAAATATGAGATGTTGATTTAGCTTGGATTGTAGCAGACAGCTTTGGCACAATGGGAAGCTACTCAGCTCCTAAACAGAAATGAGGGAACTTCATCATTCCTCTAATTTGAAAAGCACCAGTATACAGTAGTAGCAACCATTACTGTCTGCCTAAAATCCCCTACATTTTATACAAGCAGCTCTGAAATGCTATAAGATCTTAGTCTTTACACTGTTTAACTAATAAACTTACTAGAAGTAAAGTTTAACTGTATTAAAGTTACTCAGTCTCTAAGGTTGACCCATAATTCTCTCCGTACTTTTACCTCTACTTAAATTACTTTGATTGCCAAACTTATTTTTTAAATCTAAATACTATCTCTGTAACAAACCAATTCCTTCCTGAACGTCCTAGTCAAAACTGAAAAACTGGAATGCTGACCAACAATCAGTGTAAAATAAAATGAAGAATTTTTAAATCTATTTAAAAAAAAAAAAGTTACTAAAACGATTGTTAGTGGACCCAGATAATTATTTCAACCTTAAGTGCCCCCCAAATTTGTAGCTAAAACATGACAGTGGCCAAAAAATGATTTAGCCATCTATTAGATAATTCTTCAAAATTTTCCAGTATACTGTTTCAAAAGAACTGATCTGTTGCAATGGCTATAGTCACACTGAATATCCAAGGAGAAAATCAGATATTCAAAAAGTAACTAGTTTGTGATCAGCTTATTTATACTTTCTTAATAGCAGGACACCAACGGAAGCATGAAATAACATGGAATTAACCCTTAAGTACCTATCTGGCTGGAGAAGAATGTCACTAAAACAAACTTGTGGTCTCTGGGTGGTTCCAAGTATTATTACTAATTCTACTTCTGTATGTTCCACAAGCATATTTTTTACAACTGTATTTAATTAAGTATTCCAACTGATTTTCCTTAATTACATTTTCATTCAATCATTTCTTACTTAAGATACTACCCAACGTTAAAGAAAATGTCTTCCTTTAATATATTTTGGTTTATCTTTTTACTTCAGTGTGAGAAACTAATAAAAACTGTAATGCACTGAGGCTTTTGTTTGTTTGTTTGTTTGTTTGTTTGTTTGTTTTAACACCACTACTGTCTTTTGTACAATCATTCAACAAATATGTTGGAATATATATCCTCTAAGGGCTGATGGTACAATCTGGGCTCAGACTGAATACAGTCGGAGGAGGGAAAAATCACACACTCGGATAAATGGTCCGACTCTAAATTAAGAAGACATCCTTCTGTGTTTCCCTGGTCAACACTCTCTCATTCTGTGACCACTCAAACCTCTCTTCCTTCTCCTCAAATCTCTTGACACCACTTCCCACCACATTCTCACCAGATGATTCTGCTTCCTATAGAGTCATCAGAAGGGAGTTCACTAGAGTTTCCAACACCACAAACCCACCTCTACGTACATCTACTGATACAAAGAAAGACGGGTATTCCTTCTTTATCTGAGGCTAGATCTTTTGACCATACAGTGTCCCTCAGTATCCTCCAGGGATTGGTTTTAGCACCCCCTTGGATACCAAAATCCTAGGATACTCAAGTCCTAAGTCCCTTATATAAAATGGTGTAGTATTTGCATATAGCCTACATGCATTTTCCCATATACCTTAAATCACCTCTAGGTTACTTGAAATATCTAATACTATGTAAATAGTTATACTTTACTGTTTTTTATTTGTATTATTCGTTTACTGTTGTATTGATTTTTTTCAATCCATGGTTGGCTAAATCTGCAGATGCAAAAATCACCCACAGGAAGGGCCCATGTACTGTGTTTGTCTCCCGTTCTCTCCTCTCTTTTCAAACTCTCACTTTCTCTTATCCATTAGCACTCAAACAACTGTAAATCTGTTTTTAAAATACAAAGAAACAAAAACAAAATAAAAACTAATCCTTGCTCATCCCCATCACACCTCTACCAAGTTTAGTGTTCTGTCTCCTTGACAGCTAGTACTTGATTGCTTCACTTTTTTACCCACTCCCTTTTCAAACCACTGAACAGAGGTTACCACTACACAACAACTGCTCTGCCAAGTTCTGAAATGACCTGTAAATTCCTAAATCCAATGTGTACTTTTCACTCAGTATCCTGCACATTCTTTAAACAACCTTTGACACCACTGACTCCTGTCATCTTTTGAAGCCTTTCCTTCCCCTTAACATTCAAAGACCAACTCTACAGATTTTCATCCTAGTTCATTTGTCTCTCCTTCTCAGTCTCCCTTCAGGCTCTTTATTCTCAACCTATCCTTTGGATGTTCAATCCCAAATGTAAGCTTTTCTTTTACTACGCTTTTCTCTGAGCAATCTCATTTATTTCCATGTCTTCAGTTATTATCACCTTACCTAACTGCACACATATATTAATCTACCTATAGGAATAAAAGCACTAGCTCTGTTCTGCACCATTAACAGAGGTAAAAACCTGGAAACAAAGTAAATGTAAACACATAAACAAGGTAATAAAGGACAGTACATCCATATCATGGAATATATGCAGCCACCTTCTTATGGGCCAAAAACAACATGGCAGGTAATTATTTTTAAATGGCTACTTCACAAAAGTCTTTCCCCATTCTGACCTTCTTCAAAAGACACATAGCCTGAATCAGAGAGTAAAAAAAAAAAAGTATTATAATCCTTTTCAATTTGTCTGCCATCACTAATGACTCCCCAAAAAAAAAAAAAAAAAAAAAAAAAAAAAAAAACACTAGAGACAGATAAAAATAGGGCGCAGTCAACCTATAAGTTAGGAAAAGTTTACTAATCACAGCCAGAGTTTGATTACTTTATAAAGCACCATATACTATTCTTTTTGTGTGTGTGACCGGTAAGGGGATCGTAACCCTTGGCTTGGTGTCACCCGCACCGCGCTCAGCCAGTGAGCGCACCGGCCATCCCTATATAGGATCCGAACCCGCTGCGGGAGTGCTGCTGCGCTCCCAGTGCGGCACTCACCCGAGTGAGCCACGGGGTCGGCCCACCATATACTATTCTAATCCTCCTCTCCCTCACCACCTACATTTAATCCTTACCAAGTCCTGTTCACTCTTCTTCTTAAATATCTCTTAAGTTTTACGTCATCTCCCCTCCAAGGTCACCATCCCAATTTTGGCCACCATTGTCTCATGCTTGAACGTCTCCCTGTATCCACTCTTGCCCTTCTCTAAGAAGTGTTCTTTTTAAAACTAAAATTTATCACGTTACACTGCTATGTAAAACCCTCTGATGTTTTCCCATCTCTCCAATGGTTTCCATCTCTTTAGCCTGTAAAGGCTAAACTCCTTACAATGCCCTATAAAGTGCTCCACACTGGACCTGAATAACTCTTCTGCCTCATGTTATCAGTGTTCTTCTCATACTTTGTATTCCAGCCATACTTTTCAATACTAAACTGCACAAATGTTATTCCCTCTCCTTTTCCTTCCCTCCTCCTGGCCCCACCCCAATCCTCACACCTGGCTTACTCCAACTCTTCAGGTCTCAGCTTCAATCATTTTCTCAGGCAGATCACCCCTGACCCCACTATATTATCCCTGTACTTCCCTATAATATAAAAATATTAATTATCATTTGTTTAATGTTTGTATTTCCCAGTAGATCACAAGGTCTCTGAGGATGTCTTCAATACTGTATGCCCAGTGTCTAACAGAAATTCTGGCATCAGGAGGTATTCACCAAATACTTGTTGAAAAGTAAAGACTAAAACAAAAATAACTACATTTAACAATAATGGTAACCAGTCATTGGACACTTATTAATGCGCAAAGACAGTAAATAACTTGTCTAGTATTCCACAGCTAATAGTACGGCTATGGGAGATTCCATGAATTTTTGGTTTGTTTTTCTCTTGGCCTTATTCCAGCCTCCACTTAATTCACCCAAATTCCTCCAGACCAGTAAGTTCTCTTTCTGTCCTACCTCTAGGGAATGGCTCAAAACACACTGTATCACTTGTATCATCTGTCCCTCAAGCTACTTCTGTCCCATCTAAAAGTGTCAAAAGCTGAAAGAATCACACTGAGAAAGCAGGGTCAGGGAATTTAAGGGCTTAGTCCTATGAGTTGGTGATAACTCTTTGCGCCCATCTCGTACGAAAATGGCATCTCGAATACCTACTCTCAGTAACTGAGCTGCAATAGCAATTTCCCTCCAATTTGGCCTCCTTCTAGTGGGATGTGGGAGGCCCGATGAAGGGCCTGGCTGTTCTCTCCTACCCCCTCTACCTTGGGAGAAGACGACCACCCCGCTGAGGGGCAACCGCTGGACGATACGGAGATGGGCGCCCACGCTCCCCCGTCCACCGCCACCGTCGACTCCTCCAGAGGTAGGTATCCTACGCCTGCGCCGGGTGGCCGGCTGGAAGGAGCTGGGCCCGGGCCACGCGGAGTCCTGGGCAGTGTCTGTGCCCGGGTTTGGCCGCCCCACCGTTCACCCCACGGCCCCCCTACCTGACTCGGCCGTCGCCGCCAACGCTCTATTAACACTCGGAGTCTGTTCCGAGGCCAACACTGTAAAAGGGAGGGGACAGGGCTTGGGACTGAACCTGAGACCCGGAGCGGGGCGAGGGGCTAAGGGGTGGCACGACAGAAGAAACGAGGCCCCGAGGCCGCAGGCACTAGTACAGGCCAGTCTCGGTAGAAACTTTCTCCGTTACCGGCCCAGGCACGGCCGCCATGTTTCCGCCGCCGAATCCGCGACGGTACGGAACGCCGCCAGGGTCAAACCGCGCGACGCGCGCTTTCTTCGCGACGCTCGTCCTCGGCGAGTACTCGGCCCGGCCCCCCTGCCCGCCCAACCCCGCCGTGCCGCCGCGGGTCCGGGTACGCCGGCTGCTGAGCGAGTGCCAACGGCCTCACCTGAGGCGTCGCCCTAGCTCCGGCCAACGTCTTCTCCTGGGACCAGGAATCAGCGGCAGAGAACCGCCAAGTATCAGGCTGGCTGTGCCCATCAGGCATCTAGGCCACCGCCTCAGGCTGGACCTAAACTGGGTCAGGACGGGCGGGACGGACACACTTGGACCGTAAAAACTGCGGGAGGCGTTGTTGCTCTTTAATATATATGGCATAATATATGGCTTTGTGTCCTCTGACCAGCTAAAGCCCAACTCCTTAGGCCCTCCTTTAAAGCCCTTCTGGTCTAGCCCCAGCCTGCTTTTCTAATTAAGTCTACTATTAATCCACCGCCTGGGCCTCTGTACTCCACCGACACCCTTAGGTCTCCTCCGCCCTGGCTTCTTCCATTCCCCCTCTTCATCCCTGTCTTACTCTTTCGTCCGTTCACACGTCTGGCATTCTTCACACCCCAAGGCTGATTCTCATTTGTACTCTGAACGCACTGTATGGAGATACTTGGAGGCAGCATTTCACAACAGCAGTGGAGCCGGATAGTCTTGGGGTTTGAATCCTGGTTGTGATCTCGATTTCTCCATCTATAAAGTGATAACGAAATCTTCTTTGCAGGTTGTTGTGAATATTCAGTGAAACAGTATTTTTTTCTGGCATAAGGTAGGCCCTCAATACGTATGAGTTCCCTTTCCCTTTCCAAGAAGCCTTCGAGCCCGTCTGTTTTCTATCCCCACCATCATTTTCTACTACTTGTATCTCTTAGAGAGGTCAAATAATCTCTGTGCCCGTTTCCTCATATGTAAATGAAATGCTGATAAGACCTACCTTACTGGGTAATTGTAGGGATTAAATGAGATGATGTACGTAAAAAACCCCCTAAAACCTCAAACCTTTAGATAGTTTATCCCCTTAGGATAAAGCTCAAAATCCTTAAATAAGTATAGATAAATTGTGTAGTCTAGCCCCCTTTTGCCTCCTGCTTGAACTCCCACCACACTCCCCAACTCTCTGCACCCTAGCCTGCTTTCATTTCCCCAAATGCTGGGACATGTTCGATTTTGTTCACCAGTAAATCAGCTTAGCACAGTGTCTGATACGTAGTTGCCGCTTAAATATTTGTAAAATAAAATAATATTATCCGATAGGCCCTGAACAATCAATAGTTTTCTCTTCCCACTTATTTTGTATTTGTGTTATCTATATATTTTTCCTGTATCCCCAATAGAGTATGAATTTCTTCATTTTCATCTACTAGATGTTCGGGGTTAGTATGGGCAGCACATCTATAGAGTTGAACTACTCAGATTGATTCTGCATATGTAGATAAGAAGTTTGAGTTAAGATTCTCTCTAGACTCCTGTCTAATTCCAAATGCAATCACTACCCAACTCCCAAATCTGTAACTTATGGTTCTCTGGGGAACACCAGTGACACGTTTCCAGATACCTGCTAAGTGTTTCTATTCAAACATTTTGTCATCACTTCCAATTCAACTTACCGTTAATGGACATTTATCACTTTTTATGCCCACTATCTGAACTCCCCTCCCTAACTTTTCATGTTTGGGGAATTCCCCAGCTTAGGAGTCTAGTAACTGAAGCTGAAATGCCAAATACTCGCTCAACCAATCATGTGCACCACCTGGAAGCTAGTGACAAAAAAGCAGGCACAAAAAGCTAAGCTCCCTGGGCAACTGCAGGAGTGCAGCAAGGTAAGCTTTTGGGGCAATAGTGAGAATGGTTCTCATCGTGGCACCGCCATCCAGTATTAGAGGTGTCAGAAATGCAAGATACCTATGGTTGGCAAGAGCAACCCCAGAGCCCTCTCCCAATCAGTTTTGTAGCCTGTTATAGTCTCTGTGTGTATATCTGTGTAGTCTGTTATAGATTCTGTGTGTCATATAGCCGACTGTAGTATCTGGCCATGTAGGTCTAAGTCTCAATCTCCAGCAATCCTTTGAGCTACCCAGTATTCTCTAATAAATGTCTTTTCTGCTTAAATCACTATAAGTATTTTTATAGTTTTTCCATTACATTTGCTAACTGGTTTTTGCTGATCTTTAGGAAAACTAATTACTGAACTTTCTTAGTTCTAATAGTTTTTTAGTCATTTCTCAAACTTTTTAGTCAATGATACATACCATCTGTAGATAGTTTTATCTCTTTCTTTACAGTCATTGTACTTCATTTATCTCATTTTACTAAATTAGGTAAATCTGTTGGTTCGACATGGCGAGATTAGGCATCATGGTTCTTTCTGCCTTTTATGAAAGGCTTCTAGTGTTTGTTCATTAGATATGAGGTTTTCCATAGATTCCTGGTAGATTACCTTTGTCACATAAGGGAGGGTTTCTTCTATTGATCTAAGAGCTTAAATACAAATGACGGTTGGATTTAATAGGTGCTTCTTTTCAGCATCCAAATGATCATTTGGCTTTCCTCTTTAATTGGTGGATATAGTGACCTATCGTATTACTTACCGGAATTGATTCTTGGAAGAAAAAGAACCCTCTTTGGTTGTAATGAAATCGTATCATATTGCTTTTACTTGATTTTTTTCTAGTATTTTATTTAGTAGTTTTGCGTTAATAGTTATAAGTGAAATTGGCCTGTGGGTATGCCCAATGATGGCCTCCCAAAGACATCCTAATTCATGGAACCTGTGAATAGGTTACTTTACATGGCAAAAGGGACTTCGCACATGTGATTTAGGTTAAAAAGCTTGAGATAAAGATATTATCCTGGATTATACACTTTGGCCTAATCTAATCACACAAGTCTTTAAAAGGGGGGAACCTTTCCATTGGCAGAGGGAGAGGGGGATGATGATGAGGAGGAGGAGGAGGAGGAGGGGAGAGCAAGGGAGCAAGATGTTAAGACAGAAGGTTTCAGAAAGATGTGATGTGAGAAGAACTTGACCTGATGTTGCTGGTTTTGAAGATGGAGGAAGGGGGTCAGGAGCTATGGAATGCAAGCAGACACTTGCTGGAAAAGGCAAGGAAGTGGATTCTTCCCTAGAGCATCCTTAAATTTATTAAAAAAATAAAAATAAAAATAAAAGGAACTTTGCCAACACCTTGATTTTAGCCCAGTGAGACACACGTCAGACTTCTGACCTACACAACTGTAAGATAATAAATTTGTGTTGTTTTAAGCCACTAAATTTGTTACAGCGGCACTAGAAAATTAACATAGCTTATGATTTTATCTGTATGCTCTCCAAGTTTAGAAACAAAACTACGGGGGCCGGCCCGGTGGCGCACTGCTACAGTGCGCCGCTTGGGAGCGTGGCGGCGCTCCCGCTGAGGGTTCGGATCCCACATACAGACCGGCCGCTCACTGGCTGAGCGAGGTGCGGGCGCAACACCGAGGGTTGAGATCCCGTTGCTGGTCCGGGTCCGGTACGGGCGCGACACTGAGGGTTGCGATCCGTTGCCGGTCATGAAAAAAAAGACAAAAAGGAAAAAAAAAAAAAAAACTACAGCTGAAAAGTTTCTTTCTTTTTTGATGCTTTAAAACAGATTTAGAAAAACATTCTTAGAAGTCTGATAAATCTCACCTGTATATCCAACAGCCTGTGATGTGGGGGTGGGGGGTGGCAACATTAGGTGTGATTTTATAGAGCTGGAGAAATCTGTACATTAGAAACGGAATTGTTTCAAGGGCTTTCTTCCTTTCTAATGCTGTGATATTCCTATCCCATCCTACTTTAAAAAAAATTGATTCTTCTAGTTTGTATTAACTGCCATCCTTTATACTTATGGAACCTCCCTCAGGGTTAATAATCAGATAGTTGAATCAAACATACGGAAGTGGTCACCTGTCTTTATGAATTCAAATTTTAAAGACAAGACAGTCTTGTGTGGAAATTTGTTTTATAGTTTACATTGAAACCTTGCAGGGTACTAATCTGGGTATCTTTTACATTATTTTCTGAGAATTCATAGGGAGAAAAATCAAAGATAAGAAAATTTAACATTGGCTAACTTGCTCAGTATGGTTCTCAGGAGTGGGTATCAGGTTTTGGATTGGGTAGTAATGGTGGAGATAAAATGGTGAAGATGTGTGGGAGGCATAGAACAGGCGGAACTGAATAAAAAAAAAAACAGGGCTATTAAAGGTGCTTTGAGAAAGTAAGTAATAATCACTATGTGTTGTATACCTACTATGTGACAAGATTGCATTATTTGCTATACAGATATTGTTTTTAAGCCTGTCAACAACCTTGCAAAGTGAATTTTGTGGATTAAGAAATAGATCTTGAGAAGTACATTGCCCAAGCCAGTTTCTCAGAGTTCAGTGGTGGAAACCTGTCTGGATAAAAAAGCAGTGGAAAGTAGCTGGAATAAGGTACCCCTTTCACTAATTAAGAAACTGCTGACGCACTACTTCTCTTGTGGGGTTGAAGAGATCAATTAGTGAAATATTCCTTTTAAAGATATAAAAACTGGACTGGCTGGTTAGCTCAGTTAGTTAGAGCACCACCTTGTAACACCAAGGTCAATAGTTTGGATCCCCATACCAGCCAGCTGCCAAAAATCCCCACAAAAACAAAAAGATATAAAAACTGATGATGGTTTACAAATTTAAATTCCTTTATCAGCAAAAAGAGGGAGTTGGGGATTGGATAGTACTGACAGACATGATAAAAAAGTAGGATCTTAGATTAATATACATTTTAATGGGTTGGGGTAAGCAGAGAGGAGAAATTATATGGCTCCAAGTCATCTAGTATTGATCTAACCAATTTAGTGATCACCCCTATTTAGACTTTTCTGAAGCTTAAATTGAGCTATATCCTAATTCTGAGAATACATTAAGTAACTAATTAAAACAGAACCAGACCACCCCAAAAGATTGATAAAGTAAGTATCAGCAGTGCACCTGCATCTCAGTTGCATCTTGGAAGGTAAAATTAATTAATTTGCAAATATTTATCAATTACCTGCTTTGTGCAAGGTACTTTTCTAGGCTAAGGATAAAGAACAGAATAGATGAAAGCCTTGCACATGTATATTTGTGTATGTATATAATTAATGAATTTAAAAATACACACACACAAACAGGGAAAAGATAAACTTGGTGATGTGAAGACTACTTTAGATTATGTGGACTAGGATGGTCTCCCCAAGGAAGTGACATTTAAACTGAGATCTGAATGGCAAAAATGAACTAGTGATAAATCAAATACAGAAAGAAGAAATTCTAGGCAAAGGGACTAGCCTAGTGCAAAGGTGGGCACATGTGTGTGTGTCCATCCAACACTCTCAAGACTTTAACATAGAGTGAAGGAGTGGTAGGAAGTTGGATGAAAAGGTAAGGAGGGGCTATATGTACCACCAGATGCTGCAGTGCAATATGGTTTCTGTAATGTTACAGTATTTGTTGCCTTGTATCAATGCTGATGTATTTTTCTTAAGTTACGTTGTCAGCCCCTGAAGAGCACAGTAGACACCTATTCCTTATAGTACCTAATCCAGCTTAATAGTGCAGTAATTCTCAACCAGTGAATCAGTACTGATTGAATGGTGTACACTAGTTAACTTTGCTTTATTTCATTGCCACAAACTGTATCCCCACCTTGAGGTAGCTATTCCACAAATGTCCCTCATAGTTATAAAAGGGGACCACAGGCTTAAATCACTAAAAATTCATTACTCAAAAACACTAAGTATATGTTCTAAGTAATACTATATACAATTTAAAATGAGCTGTCATGAGACCTGTGCTTGCTGTCTTGAATTTCATGCTTCGCATTCTGTGGGAAGTGATATTAATCCACAGAAGTATTACTACTCATCTATATTGATCTGTAATACTATCTCTACACCAGTGATGTTACAATGTTGTTTCTTTACACTTGAGAAATTTTAGGGAGGAAAACATTTTTTCTTCCTATTATTATAAAGGGTTTGTTTGAAATTTTTGAGGTATGAAATGGATGTTAGCAGCTTAGTGTGTCTCCAGCCATAAGCAGGACTAAAGAGATGGTTTGTGATATCCTAACTCCCATTCTGTACCTCCTCATTCCAATTGGCATAATTCTGCAGGCCCACATCGTCCCCCCTACTTTGATACTTCTGGTTACACAAGCTCCAGACCATCACCTTTCCTATCAAAATGTATCTTCTTACTTACAAATTTCAAGGATCCTACTGTTTCCATAGCAACCTACACTCAGGTACTTTAATCTGTGCTATGGTTCAGCAGTGTCAGAGAACAGAAAGCTTTCACAGTTAAGCCATTAGGTGCTCTTTCTGTCACAGGTCTGTTTCCTAAGCTTCTCTCTTTTTGTACTCAGACTCCAAGGATTTGGCCTGCCTAACTGCCTCTCTTCTTTCCAGCAATCACCTGTCCAGGGAATGTTTCATCCATGCCTGGCTTTGGAAAAAATGTTATCTCTTGGATTCCTATTGAAAAGGCCTGTGGCAACGATTGTTTCTTGCTGACTTATTGTTCCTTCATATTTTAACCTGTCTCTGCAAACTCTCTTATTCAAACAGAGATGTGTTATAGAACAGGAGTTTGAGGGAGAACTAAATTAATATTGTTACAATACATAGTCATATATGTATTCTTTTTCGTTGGTAGAAGACAATGAACATAGCTAAAGTAGCATTAGTTAACTGTAAAAAGATTTATAGGTCTAGGGATAAATGTAAACGACTTAAATGTAGATTCTGTAATAATTTTATATAGAATATCTCTGTGACCACAAATCGTATTTTTTCTCAATAACTGATTCCCTACACCAGCTCAAAGGGCTGTAGAAAAAAATACTGTCATCAGAATACAAATGAATGGTTGTGGCTTGGTTGTGGCTGAATTCAGTAGATATGACATTTATGCAATGACTATTCTCCCTAAAGAGTTGCAAAAAGGCCTGCATCTAGGAAATATTATCAGATAATGCTTTGTGTTTTGAGCAATGCTATTTTTTTATGGTGTACATTGGCATTCCAATCCAACAATATTAACAAATTTATGTTTTATGACTTTCTAATTATTAAAGACAAGTTGAAGAAACAATTCTAACTGGCCAGAAGCAAAAAACCAAAAAATCAAAAAACAAAAACAAAAGAAAAAATGAAATTCATAAAGGTTACTGCAATTGTTTTTTTTTTAAGAATAAAATTATTGTAATAGACATTCCTGTTGCAAACATTTGTTTTGTTTTGAGTAGTAACAGAAGAATTGTTTTCCAGCTTTGCCATCATCTAACAATTTATAACACCAAGAAGGAACCAAACCTTATATCTACATTTCTGCTGACCTAGTGTGTAGACTCTTGCAGAGGAATACCATTGCTGCACTGTGCTCAGAAAAGTGTGAGAAAATGGATCTTTTTTTTTTTTTTTTTGGGCCACTTTTGTAAGCAGATTCCATTTTTTGTGGGGGGGACTGCTTTTATAATCAGATAATTTATATTTAGCTTGCACTTTTCTAGAGCCATAAACAATACATCCCTCTTACGTACAATGTGTTTGTAATCCACTAGATAGTTTTTTGTGTTTAAGGCTTTATCTCCTGTTTCACTTCTGGGAAACAAAAGATTTTAAGAAAGGGCAAAGCTGTACAATCGGTATGCAGTCATTCCTAGATACAGATATTAAGTAGATGTACAATGCTTGACTTCTCCATTAGATCATAAGCTCCATGAAAGGAAACTGATTACCCCAATTCCTGCTGTTTCCCCAGCATATTAAACATGGTGGAATTCAAACATTTGTTTAATGAATAAAAATACTCTTTCATATCATGAGAAAGCCATCTGCTGCCCTAGAAGAGCTGATATACCTAAATTATCTGTTATGGAATTAACTTACAAAGGACAGCATGATGTACATGGCTGATGTACATTAAAGTAGAATTTATGCTGTTGTACTGGTTCTGCCATAAACAACATGACAATGCAAGTCACTTAAGTTCTCTGGATCTCAGTGAATGAATTTATAAAACTGAGGGATTTAACTAGATGAAACCCAGTTGGAAAATTCTAAAACTCATTCAAATTCTAAATTGCTCTCTAATTCTGAAATCACTTAGTGAGATACATCAAAGACCACACAAAACATTCAGTTTACACGTAATAGACAAAGAATATTAGAAAATTTAAAATTTTTAATAAATGTGCTTTGTTCACAAAATGTGAAAAAATACAACAAACACAAACATATATTTTCAGGTATGCTACCTCCTACCACTTGGCAACTATGGTAAAAACCACATGATCTAGTTATGATCCTGAACAATCCAACCAAATGATCATTTGTTTTGAAACACCCAATTTTCTTGGAGAACCTGTTGTGAATGTGACAGGAGGCCCCTTAACTTTATATGCAAATGAAATCATTCTTAAGAGTACCCATACAGTATTAGAAGGCCCTATTAACTTCTCTTGTCATTACATATATGATCCGGCACCAAGCCACAGTGACTGCTTATATTTCGACATTTAAACACTGAATTGGCTTTGGTGAAATGTGTATTGGTTTAAATCCTGTGCCAACCTAATCTGAATCAGCTGGATTTACAGTAACAAATGATATAAATTCAAACAAATTTAAACTAAATGGTAGTAGGTTTATAAAGAGATTTTTCTTTGAAGTACTGCTTAAAATATACATCATGCACACTTTGGAGCAAAAGCAGAATCAACATCTGTAAACAATCAGAGAAGAATTTATAGCACCAACATTTTTGCTGTAACACAAAGGCTGTCTCCGAGGTCACACTTCCACCAGCCTTGCAAAAGCACTATTTTCATTTACTTTCAAAGCACTTCCATTCGATGTGTTGTTTTCTTTGCTCTTAAGATCAGATCTAGCCAAATCAAAGAAAACAAACAGGATGATAAAGGAGGTACTACCAATACGCAGTTTTGTATTATCCTAAACACAATGCTTTTTTTTTTTTTTCTTCCTTTTTCTTTTGAGGGAGCTACAAGACATGATCCTGTTGTGCTTAACTGGAAAGAAAAGGCAGTCCTAATTATTAAGGAATTTTATGCTATTGAAAGTAAATGAAAAACTTCAAGTTTCTTCTGGCATATCTGAGCAACCAGTATTTATTGCATTTAATCAGTTGACTTTTTTTTAGGTTAATTACAATCTTGTTACTTTCTTTAAGTTAGCATGTGAAATTTAATTTGAAATATGGGGTATACACACTCAATCTTTTATATCTTAAAGGATAAATTTTGTATTTCTAAATAAAGTTTGACATTCAAAGTTAACTATAGCTATTCACAATAAGCACAAAAACATCAGTTTTACCAGAGTAAAGAAGTGCAGTTTATGAAATTTAGGATCAACTATTGAAAATGCAAGTTTCCTTTAAAAACATACACACACACATACACACATTAACCATGAAATCTGAAACTGTGATATTTCAGTGCAAAAACCTCAGTATGAGGTAATTTTAATGTAATAACCACTTGAAAAAAAATCCACACAGTGGCACTCTTAAAAATGATAGTTTACATGACAATTGCTGGCTGACAAGACAATGTGGACTAAATGTTCTTCACTGTTTAAACTAATCTTGTCTTGTTCGGACATATATTTCTCCTTAATCATTTGCTTCTGATTCAGAAACACAGAAAGGCATTTATCAATGTGGAAAGGGAAAATTCCCACAGCCAACTAATGGTTTATATATTCAAAGAAAATTTTGTCTAGGGTTTAGATAGAAATTAGGATGCCAAAAGGTCAAAGCCATTTGATAAGATTACCAGCAGAGGGTGAATTTAAATTTTTTCTATATAATTCCAAACTTGTAGTGCAGCACCTCCTTAATGGAAAGGCGAGGACCCTATCAAAGTTGGTTTTGATAGAACATAAACTCTTATACAAGTGCAAACCCTTTCACAAAGGTGTTTTAGATCAGTATCGAGTATTATATTGTTCCTTGCTTACATAGAAAATTTTGTAAATGAAACCTAAATTTAAAAAAGTAAAAGCGAACTCTCACAGATAAATATACTTAACACCAAGGCCCAAATCAACAAGAAAGTTATGATAATATTACTTTGGCAATGGTGTTTATTGGGTTGTGCTAATGAAATTAGAATGTATACTATGGGGGAAATCTCTTCCCCAGTGTCTGATGCTACCAAGTAAGCTTTTAATAGAATAAAAAAGAATAATCACTAATTCCAAAAAGTTCAGGAAAAATTGGATCAAACAAAACTGAACAGAAAATGGCTTTCTGTAATAGATAACTAGTTAGAAAAAAGAAAAAGATAAGTGCATCACAAAACAACTAAACCAGCCTATCTCTGTGTCACATTTAACTTGTGAATCATGAAAGTGCAATCTACAGCTTTCTACATATCTTAAAGTTTCCCATTGCAAGGGTTTAAAGTCAACATCGAAAAGTTGAAGAAAAGGAAAATATATAGCAAATTATGTTTCATTTTTCACAATAGCACTAAGAAGGTACCTTTCTATGATAACTTAGTGCTAAATGCTAAAGTAAAAGTGGTTTCTGCTATGACAAGAGTCACTCTGCATGAAACTTTTAAGCTTTCTATATAAGAATAAATTTTAAAATCGAGTAGAAAAAAATAGCAAACTCTGTAAACCTTTGCATTTCTTCTATGCTAACCAGGTTTTAAGTACTGAGTTCATGTTAGTATTTCCAATTAGTGTAAGAAATTAGGAGTCTGGACTGAAAGGGCCTTCTGGTTTTACATTAACTTAGAAGTAATATGGGATCCTCTAGCTCATAGAAAGGAATAGAGCTGGCTTGACTTTCTCCAGAATCTGAGTCATATGGAGCATCAGGGAGCTCTGTGAAACCGTATGCTATTTGTTCATCTTCTATATCTGACCGAACATAGCAAGAAGGGTTAGAATATTCCTCATCTTCTATACTGTTGAAATCTTGAGGAATATATAACATCCCTGGGTAGTTCCTACTAACCAAGTCACTTGTGGTTTTTAGGGAGATTTTCCTAAATGCCATCAGGTGCATATGTGAAAATTTTGAATACTTGAAGCGTTTAAAGCCCAGGGACTCTATAGCAATCTTCCAGCTTTTCATCATCATAGCATGACGATTCTGATGGGAGGAATCAGGTGTGATGATAAGTAATAAACCATTTAACACTAATAGTTCATGAGCTTTCTTGCAGCAAATCCATCGCTGGTAAGGTGATGGAAAATAAGAAAGAAGGAGAGAGAAGACAACCACATGGAAAAGCTCTCCAGGGAGAGAATCGATAGGGTTTTTCAGCTGTTTCAAAAAAGCATCTATAGCATCTTGCGCAAGCTGGAGCGGCTGCTGAAGCTGTAAGTTGAGGAAGTCACATTTATATACACTCTGCAGAAAGAGAAAAAGATGGCATATTAAGAATTTAAGATTACTTCCACCATAATATGTAGATTTTACACCAAACTATTTCACATTTTACAGCATTTCTATTTAATTCCAGCTTCAATTAATATCTTTTCCTTCTAAATTAAGCTTGCACAGACTTATTCAACCGAAAGTTTAATCACAAAAATTTCAGATTAATTAAGAGAATTTCTAGACACCATTATTATTTACACATAACGTGAAATGAGAATAACTTTTATGTATATATTTAAAAAAACATAAGGGCTTATTTGAATTTTAACTTTGGTAAGAGTTTACAGGAACGATTTATTTTTAAGCTTAGTTATATTTTCATTCACTTTAACATTTACAGTTACCAAAACTCAGCTAATATATAAACAACTCTAAACAAGAAATACCACGATATAAATATGTCAAAGAAGATAGTGAGAGTTCCGGTCAAGATGGCAGAATAGACAGTCCCCAGCGTCACTCTCTCCCACAAATCAACCAATTTACAACTATAAAAATGTAACATCAGCCAAGCTGGGGCCATTGGAGGTTAGGTGAAGATGAGGAGGGAACTCATGAAGGCAGGAGAAACCACGACGAGAAAAAGAAAAAACTGCTCTCAGTGTTTCGGGCCATGGCTGCTTTAATGCTGGAGCACACGGAGCAGGAACTGGCAGAAGCTGCAGCTGTGCCCTTTAGATGGAGTTACTTGGAGGTAGAAAGGGAGAAGAGGACTTTGGTGGCCCCCAGTACAGCAAGACCACTAATAGGGTTCCCATGGACCAACACAGGAGCGAGGAGCCAGAACAGCTGAAAAAGGGGAGCCATTCAGAGGCTGGTGAGTCATTGCAAGGGACCAGCACAGGGCCTTGTCCCATGGGAAGTATTTGGAGCACGGGCAGCAGGGGAGATGGGGAGAACACTGGGACATAGCAAGGACAGCCTATCCACCCCACAATCAGTGCTGAACCACTCAGAGGAGACTGGTCGGGAATGCAGAATTGCATGGAGTGCAGTTCAATGAAAAACTCAGGCTCAGATCAGAGTTTCTATACAACCCAGGGGCACCAAGTATCTGGAGAGCTGGAAGTACCTATAAGGTCAACCATTAAACCCGAAGCTGCACAAAAAGTCCTCCTTAAAAAAACAGCAGCAAAGCAGCAATTTACCTCAACCACACAGCTCAAGTACTGGTTCCCAAAAAGTTCCCCCATGTTAGAAGCAAGCAAAAGACAAAAACTTAGTTCTGGCCCAGGCACACCACAAATGCCTTGGGGCCCACCAAGGGACATGAGGCATGGAGCCAGGGGAAGGACCCCCGCCCACAACCACTCATACCACCAGCACCTCAGGGCCCCACCCAGGAACCAGAGGATTGGAGCCGGGTACTGAACACCACTCCCACATACAGGCACACCATCAATACCTAGAGGTCCACCCAGAGACCCCCTTCCCACAACCAGGCACGCTGTGACAGTGCCTCAGGCCCTGTCCAGGGGCCCGAGGCATGGAGAAGGGGACCGGAACCCCCTCCCACAACCAGGCTCACCATGCCAGCACCTCAGGGCCCATCCAGGGACCCGGGGTAAGGAGCTGGGACTGAACCTGCCCTCCCACAACCAGGCACGCTGTGATGGTGCATCAGGGCCCTGGCCAGGGGCCCAAGGCATGGAGAAGGGGATCGGACCTCCCTCCCACATCCAGGCACACCTTGCCAGCACCTTGGGGCCTACCTGGAGACCCAGGGCATGGAGAAAGGGACTGGACCCCCCCTCCCACAACTAGGCACACTGTGCCAGTGCCTTGAGGCCTGTGCAGGGACCAGGGGTAAGGAGCTGGGAACTGGATCTATCTCTCCCACAACCAGGCATGCCTGGACAGCACATCAGGGCCCACCCAGGGGCCCAAGGCATGGACAAGGGGACTGAATCTCCCTCACACAACCAGGCACCCTGTGCCAGTGCCTTGGGGCCCCCCCCTGGGACCCAGAGTGTAGAGCTGGGGACCAGACCCCCCCCCCCACATCCAGGCATACCTCACCAGCACCTTGGGGCCCACCCAGGGACCAGGGGCATGGAGAAGGGGACTGGACCCCCATCCCACAACCAGGCACATCATACCAGTGCCTCAAGGCCCGACCTCGGACCTGGAGCATGGAGGAGGGGACCGGGCCCCCCTCCCACAACCAGGCTCACCACACCAGCACCTCAGGGCCCGCATGGTGACCCAGGGTATGGAGAAGGTGACTGGACCTCCCTCCCACAACTAGGCACACTGCGCCAGCACATCAGGGCCCTGCTTAGGGGCCTGACGCATGGAGAAGGGGATCAGATCTCCCTTCCACATCCAGGCACACCTCACCAGCGCCTTGGGGCCCACCCAGGGACCAGGGGCATGGAGAAGGAGACTGGACTCCCCTCCCACAACCAGGCACACCACGCAAGTGCCTCGGGGCCTGCCTGGGGACCGGGTGTATGGAGCCAGGGACTGGACCCCCCCATCCCACAACCAGGCACACCACACCAGTGCCTCTCGGTCTGCCCTGGGACCTGGGGCATGGAGAAGGGAACCAGATCTCCCTCCTATCACCAGGCACACCACACCAGTGCCTTGGCGCCTGCTTGTGGACCTGACGCATGGAGAAGGGGACCAGACTCCCCTCCTACAACCAGGCACCCCACGCCAGTGCTTCAGGGCCCATTCAGGGACCAGGAAATGGAACTGGGGATCGGACACTCTCCACAACCAGGCACCCTGCCAGCACGGAGTAGGCCAAAACATCTCCTCCATATGGGTGGCCCACCTCAGCCATCACGATAACCATGGCTGTCGCAAAGGGAGCTAGATGCCACAACTACCACGCAGATGGTCTGCCAGCGACTGGAGTGAGTTGATACAAGGAGAGTCACCAGCAGAGATAAAGAAAGGAAGAGGATTTCTGTCTCCACAGAGCCCATTTCATAGTGACAGAAGAGACATCTGCTCTATGATAGTATTGGGGGACCTGATCACGCCTCTCAGCATTGGACTGATCATTTGGGAAGCAAATCAACAGAGTAACCATTATTCTTTCAGAGGAAGAGCAGAAATCTAGGGTTGGGGGGAGGGAAAGAGGGATGGGGAAGGATTGGTCAAGGGTCATAAAAAATAATTATGATTTGTAACAATATATATGCTAGTAATATTGATTTGATCAACATATCTCAATGTTGTACCCCCAAAATATGTATAATCAATTCTGATTCAATAAAAATTAAAAAAAAGAAAAAGAAGATAGTGAAAGAGGCATTATAAATTTGTACAAACAGAATGATGCCCAAACTTTTTAAGGTCATGAAAAGATCTCTTAAAACCATAAACTTTAACCATTTAAAAAGTAATTTTAACATTTTTATTCTACTAAAAAGTTAATCCTTGCTTTGAAACAACTAAATTTAATTAACTTAGTCAAATGACCATGGGAAACTCTACAGGTAAAGGAATAAACAACATTGCATAATTTGCTGAATATTAAAGCTCTATGGCAATGATCCAGAATAAGAAAGCAGTTTTAAAATTAGATAAAAAGTAGTTACCCTTATCATATAGCAATAGTTATTAATTAACAGAGATTTGACCTAATACCTTAGTCCCTCATTCTTGTTAGTGGGTAGACAAGCTGGTCATACAGTTAACTGGACTATCTATTAGGGAAAGTGATACATAACGTTCTGTTACCGGGAAAAAGGTTGTTTTTCTTCTTCTCTTTGCCCCCCCTCTTTTTTTTAAAAGACAGCTTTATTGAAGTATAACTTACACAAAAGCATATTTAAAGCATACACTTTGATATGTTTAACATATTTATACACCTGTGAAACCACTGCCACAATCAAGTTTATGAATAGAATCCAACACTCCCCACAATTTCCTCATGCCCCTTTATAATCCTTGCCTCATATAATACCTGCTTTTCCCCTGCCATCAGCCAACCATTTATGTGATTTTCTATCACTGTAGATTAGTTTGTATTTCCTAGAATTTTATATAAATGGAGTAATGCAGAATACAGTCTTATTTTGCCTGGCTTCTTTCACTTGACATAATCATTTTGGGATTTATCCATTTTTTTGGCAGTTATTAATAGTTTATTCCTTTTTTTTTTTTTTCTGACCGGTAAGGGGATCACAACCCTCGGCACATTGTGGTCTGCACCATGCTCAGCCAGTGAGCACACTGGCCATCCCTATGTAGGATCCGAACCTGCAGCCTCGGTGCTACCAGCGCTACAATCTCCCGAGTGAGCCACGGGGCCGGCCCTAGTTTATTCCTTTTTTAACTGCTGAATGGTATACTGCTGTGTCAAGGATATACTTCAATTGGTTTATCCATACACTTGTTTATGGATATATAGGTTGTTTCTTGTTTTTGGCTATTACAACTCAAAATTGCTATGAATATTCCTGTTCAAGTCTTTGAATGAACATGCTTTCCATTTTTCTTGGGTAAAATCCAGGAGAGGTGTGGCTGGATCATACAACAGGTGTATGTTTAACTTTTAAAGAAACGCCCAAATTGTTTTCAAAATCAGTTTTACAGTTTTATATTTCCACCAGCACTGTATAAAAGTTCTAGTTCCTGAAAAACAAAAGAATCAGGGCTTCCAGTCAAGATGGTGGAATAGATGATCCCCAGGGTCACTCTCTCTCACAGTCAACAAATTTAAAACTATTAAAAAGCAATGACAGCTAAGCTGGGGCTGCTAGAGCTCAGGGGAAGAAGATGAGAGACCTACGGAGTTCATGAAGGTAGGAGAAGCCATGATGAGAGAAAGAAAGGATCACTCCCACCATTTCAAGCCCTGGCTGCTTTAAGGCTGAAGCTGGTGAGCACACAGAGCAAGAGCTAGCAAAAGCCACAGATGTGCCCTTCGTATGAAGTTGCTTGGAGGCGGCAGGTGAGAAGGCCTTGGAGGCCCCCAGGTCAGCAAGACCACGAACGGGATTCTCGTGGAC